TGGTTATATGTCCTTTAGTACTGTGTGCAAAAAGAACAAGATAGACTAATTGTGATGTCCCATTTCTTCTGCAGTGATCATAGCACCCAGAGATGAGATAGAAAGTACGGAAATATGGTGGATATTCAGTGGGCATCAGAATATTTATGTGGTTGATCTTCAGCACTGACCCTTAATGTCCCACAGGTCTTTGTTATGATTCCTGGTGTGGTGGATGGGATGTTCCTACCTAGGCACCCTCAGGAGCTGTTGGCCTCTGTGGATTTTCAGCCTGTCCCCAGCATCATTGGTGTTGACAGTGATGAGTGTGGCTGGGGAATCCCCTTGGTAAGACCTAGTTGTAAGCCTCTGGGAACGTAAACTCAAGTGTCGGGTGTGGGACCTCATAGATACTTTGATCTAGATCCAACCTATCCTATACTTAAGACTCTTCCCTACCTCCTAGTTGAAGGGCTTTGATCCTGTCATAAAGAACATAACCAGAGATACCCTGCCAGCTATTCTGAGAAGCACAGCAGCACAGATGGTGAGCAATGTTGAATCCTGTCCTAACAGAGAGGGTTCCCATATATTCTTCACAGATGGCAGGCTCAGAAATAAGTGATATTGTATGTGTGTATTTCTGTGTGGGCTCACCCAAAGGTCATACCTTTCCCTCTATACCTTGTCTTATCCCTGGCCACGTTCCTTACAAGGAGGTTGCTGCCTACCTATTCTGGGGCCCACCCTTCATCATTCTCCCTGATTCTTCATGGTGTAGATGCTGCCTCCTGAATGTACTGAACTGCTAATGGAAGAGTACATGGGGGACGTTGAGGACCCCCGGACCCTCCAAGCACAGTTCAGAGAGTTGATGGAGGACTTCATGTTTGTGATCCCTGCACTCCAAGTAGCACATTTTCAGTGTGAGTACATCTTTAACAAGACCATGGGCAGCGGGGAGCTCAGAACTGTTGGTCCCAGATGAGCTCTGTAGTGTCAGGCCTGACCCATGTCTTCACCAGGTCTCTGATACCAGGCACCTGAAGTCAATTATCTCATTAATTCCTTTTGTCTATTGGAAAAGAGTGTCATATTATCCAGATCCAGAGGAGGAAACATGTTAGTTACACTTGGTGTCTTATTACAACTACTCATCTGGGAATGCCAGGTTCACTCTTTAACAAAAGGTTTCCCATAGCCAATTCTCCAGCCAGAGCTCACCACTAATCTGTGGTTCGAGATAACCTTACAGGAAGGTTTCTTATAACCAAAGTTTGGGCCGGCAAAAAGCTCCACGTGAGAAATTATTATGTCAACATGTGTCTCACTCCCAGGTTCCCATTCTCCTGTCTACTTCTATGAGTTCCAGCATCAGCCCAGCTTCATCAAGCATGTCAGGCCATCCTACGTGAGGGCTGACCATGGTGATCACCTAGCCTTTGTCTTTGGCTCCTATTTCTGGGGCAAGAAAGGTGAGTCTTCCTTGTTTTCCTTGAGCTGAGTGGAGCCCCAGATGAGTTCTTGAGGGATTTCTCAGTTATCAGCTGAGGAAACTGAGGCTGTGGGAAAGAACAGGGGCAAGTCTTCAACATTCCTAAACTGAAAAAAAAGACAAAAAACAAACAAACAAACAAAACTTCTACCATGGTTAGAATAGGAACCTTCCTAGTCTACCTTGTGCAAGAAGCAATGAGAGCACACTGTGGTAGGAGTGATCCTGGGAGAATTCAAGTAGAGGCTTGGATGGATCCTAGATTCTGAGCACTGAGGGAAGAGTTTAAACCAGGCCTAGTGTTCAGGTTTGGGCTATGGCTGCCATAGTAGAGCATAAGTTGGCACCTGCATGAGGTAGCAAGACTTGGTAGCAATCCTTTGTCTCCTGTCTACAGTTGACCTCACTCCAGAGGAGAAGCTGCTGAATAGGAGGATGATGAAGTACTGGGCCAACTTTGCAAGACATGGGTGAGAATATTCTCCTCCCTCAAACTCCTTTTTTCTGGGTCTCCATCCAGGGCTCCCATGTGGGTGTGCCTCATTAGCATATGTAGGTCCTTAATTCTACCATAGTCTTCTCCAGCCCGGGGTACACATAGGCAGACACCTTCTAGCTTTAGTTACTGATCATCCCACAGAAACCTAGTGGGTGATTCATTGTATTGTAGTACTTTTCTTTACATTTGCCCTCTGAGAGGGAGAGACAAAACTAGACAGCTTACCTTATTTCACATGGACCAGACACTAATGGGTGACACTTGTATTCTCTATCAGTAGCCAGTTTTTCTTTACCCTCTGACCCTTAGCCTACTCATCCACTGCTCTGACCCAAATCAAGGGACAAAGTGTTGGATGAGAGTGACCTTATCCTTCCCTATTGGTGGCCTATCCATAGGAACCCAAACAGTGTGGGTCTACCATACTGGCCCGAGTTGGCCCATGATGAGCAGTACCTGCAGCTGGACATTCAGCCTGCTGTGGGCCGAGCCCTGAAGGCCAGAAAGCTGCAGTTCTGGACCAAGACTCTGCCCCAGAAGATCCAGGAGATAAAGGGGACTCAGGTCAAGCATGCAGAGCTTTAGTGTCCTGTGACAGGAAAGATGTCTGGAATGAAGATGGGGTCATCCTGAGGTTACAAAGTCCATTGATTTATCCTTATTTGTTTCAACACTAGCATAAGCATTTCTAACCTCAGCATTTGCACTTTCAGCCACATATGACAAATCCTCTGTGTGTTGCTCCTTATCCTTCTGGATACATTTTATTAGACTCAGTAAATACTCTTCTAACCATATAAATGTGTGAGCCTGAAAGTTCCCTCATCTTATTTAACACTTCACTGTGAAGGCTTCTCCCTTCCTTTCTTCCTTCCATTCTTTCTTCCTTTACTCCTTCCTTGCTTCTTCCCTCCCATCATCCTCTCCCCATCCTCTCTCTCTCTCTCTTTTTTCCAAGCCTCAGACATTCTTCAAATGAAGCAGAAGCTTCAGGCACTGTTAACTGTGGGAAATTCCATGTCCTTTCTCAACAAGTTCATGTTTTTTTCATATTTGTCCATTGCCAATAGAAAACCTGATTTCCTCAAGCCCCATTTCCTTCATAAGTCACAATGCTGTTCCCAATAGATAATAAACCACCAACTGGACTCTTAGTGTCTGTGTCCTCAGATGTGTGGAGGCTGAGACAGGAGGATTACATAAGCCCAGGGCAAGATAACAAGATCCACATCTCAGAAACAAAGCAAAAAACATAACCTCAGTAAGTTACAAACAATAACAAATTATAATTTTGTAGATTAAATAATTTCAGGGTCAAACTAGCCACAGATTTGCTGTGTGATAAGAAACAGGTCTCTGGCTGGAGATCACAAGGTTTACATCTTCTGCTGTCTCCTGGTAGAATGTGTAAACAATGGCATCCCAAGGACA